TTGGGAACTTATTTTCTCCCCACAATGATACTGATTATAATAATATTTATAGTATTTTGGGGGGTGTGTGTGTCTGGCTTAGGGCATTCATACACAGTACTAAAAATATTTATCCTGATGTGTATAGGATGTTTGATTTTTAAATACCTTACTGCCTTACTGATTTTCTGCTTGAAGAAAAGAAAAAAAACCACAATGAGCTCATTGGGTCTTGGGAACCCTCTCAAAAGTGAGGGCGAAGTTTGTCAAAATACAGGTGAGAGGTGAGATTTAGAAACCACAACTCAATCCTGACAACTCTAGTCCTTAGAGATTCAAGAAAGCCAACTTTCTTTTCTGCCTACATGTCAGTGAACTCTTCCCCTTAAGCCGAGGGGCAAAGAAAAGAGGGAAAAATACTAATACATGTCAAGGAACAGGGATGTGTTGCTAATTTAAGTAATTAACACTGTGTACATATTTTATCAAATGCAATCAAAAACACATAAAATGCATATAGCACAACTGACCCTTTTTTGAAACTGAGATCTTTTGCTTTTAACTTTGAGGATGCCTGTCAGATTTCTATCAGGACTTCAAATATCCCGTTTCTAAGAATTCAGTTCCCCTTTCTCACTATGTCTTATCAGCACGTTTCATTAATTGAAAAACCCAGTAGTACATGGGCGCTCAATCAGTGTGGAAGCAAATTTCTTCACTCGCTTGCAAGTTAGATCAGGAAAAATAGCCAACATTTTAGATAACAGCATCAGATGGGATAGTTTTCTCTTAAAGCCCTTTGAACAACTGTTAATCCTAATTCTCACTAATATGTTACATTTGGGGTTTTTTTTTTTTTTTCCTCCAAAAAGATGGTGTATTCATTGTGCTAAGGGATCATGACATCTCATGATGAGAAAACAACACGAACAAAAGGAACAGTGTCTCTTCCCTGAAAGTGATCAGCTGAACTGGTGGACAGCACACTAAGCACATGGAGTTGAGAGTGTTTTCAAGAAATGATTGTAATGATGGGCCACACAATCTCCTCCAGGGACAGAGAGCAGTGAAGACACCAGGTGGATAAGGGGGAGTGAGAAGGTGGGAGTGTCAATGGATTACAGGTTCCTCGGGGTTGAAGAACTGATTGGGTCAAGGAAGGACTGTTTCTAAGTACATGTTCATCAACAGTCTTTGTGCCATATTTTTTTCCTGGAATATAAAATCCAGAGGTTGATAACGAGATTTTAAAACTGCAAGGCACCAAGCATCAATTCCAGGGATAGTTGGGTTGGCGTAGATCCACGCTCCTTCCCTAGGGATGCTAGGACCCAACAGATCTTTGCATCTGCTACAGTCTGGGGAAGCACTATTTCTCCTGCTGTAGAGAACACTGTCATATTCTGCCCTAAACCCCCTTGAGGGCTGAGGGACTCCTCCCAAGTGCTGGGAGTGCTAATGGCAGACAGCTCTCAATTGACTTAGGGAGCCATTTCTCTGAAGACAGCTGCCTCGCCCCAGATCATGCCCTCCTCCCAGGCGCAGCCAACATCTAATAACAGGTCAACATGTAGGTATGAAGGCCTGGCCCCCTCAGTGCAACTCGAGGCAACTCTGAAGGGCCATGCCAGCTCTAGAGCACCCCTTGGGGCCCACTGCAGCCTTCATGGAAACTGCATTAAAGCCCCGTTTCCCCCTCTGCTCAATCCTACTTCTTTCCCTTCTACTCAACAGGTGTTGGCCCCACGAGCACACTCTAAGAAGATTCCAGCACATTGATTTCCCTCTGTCCCAGAATCTAATTCCCATGGAATGCAGTCTGCACATCTGCCCAAGTCCCCAAAGTCACAGTCAGGAACAGGGTCATCTTTGGTGCACTCACCGGACTTGGGGTTGCAGAGCACAGGGGGGCTGCTGCTGAGGGTGGGGCTGCTGCTGAAGTAGCCACTGCTGCCGCAGCTGCTCATACTACTCCTCCTGACCGCAGACACGATCTTGATCTCCTTGCTGGGGCTCACTGTGCAAGACAAAAACACACACAGGCACCGAAGGTGCTGGTCTCAGTTCCTAGAGCACATGAGCTTTCAGCTATGAGCCTCTGCCAGGCCAGGAAAAAGCACTCTGGCCTTGGAGTCAGAAAAGCAGAATTTGAGTAGTGGCTCTGCCTCATACAGCACAACCTGGGACCATTCCCTTCAGCTCTCTGAGCCTCAATTTCCCCAAATATAGAGTGAGAATAATGCTATCTCACGGGATTAGTGCAAGGAGTAATTATATAACGCACGTGAAAGTGTGATATTATTTCAAGAACTATCAAATCCATGCTGAGCAGTCCCTGCAAGGATGTGAATTAAGTGCTGGCTATACATGGGATGAGTTAACAGTGATAACAAATGCCTCCTGATTTACTATTAAACTATTAATCACCCAGAGCCAAGGAAGAAGGAGCTTAAAATACAAGGCATGGCAAGATTCATACTATCCGTTTAATTCTATTCTTCTGTGAACTCTTTGAAGTACCCTTGTACAGAGCTCATATTCAGGCTTTGAAAGGGAGTGTCTTCCATTTTCTGATTTGGTTCTTTCTGCCATGAAGTAGGCTTGCTGTCAACAGGGGGAAGGTATATGATTGAATGAATGAAGCCATGGAGAGCACAGTGCCCAGTCCCTGGCACATGGGCAATGCTGGCTTTTATGGCGACCACGGTAACTTTATTCTCCTTCTCATCATCACTGCTTGTTTGGGTCCATTGTGCCCACTCACAGAACAGGCAAATCTCAGTATCATTAGAAAGTGAAGAATTGCTTTGCATCTACAGAAGACCGTAACCTCAGGGGGACACACAACAGTGTGTCTTCTTGTCCTGACCAGGTTGGGACTGAAGCTTAGGTTCCTGACCCTCAGGGAGTCTCTATTTCCCCACAGCAGCTCTGACTTCATTCTCTCCTCCAGCCAGACTGTGTCTGAGAAACCTGGGAAGCGTGGGGTCGGTGAGGAGACAGTATAATACTAACATTTGAAGAAGATAGAGCCAGTGCGAGACCCAGCTCTTCCACCACCTTCTAACCCTGAGCAAGCCACACAATTGCTCTGTGCCTTAGTTTCTTCACCTGTAAAATGGAAATTAATAAACTCCTTTCTCTTAGGGTTTTGGTGAGAATTAAATGAGAAAATTCAAGCAACCACGCTTGGGTCAGTGCCTGGGCACAGAAAGGTCTCAATACATAGAGTTGTAAGTGTTCTCACTGGAACCTCCTATTCATAACCAAGCCATGACACTTTCATGTTGTGCT